GAGAACTTGCACAATTGGTGGCTGACTAAATACTTTTTTGCCCCACTGTATGTCTGAAGATAAGAAATCGACCAGATGCATGTAGGTTTTTACTGTGGACTAGAACCCTGTGGAAAATGAGTCACAAGGGATTGCAGCGATGGAGGCAGTAATACTGTCTTTTTCTTTCTTTCCACACATTATCATATTCTGCTATTAAGTGAATAAGACTTTGAAATTTCCACTTGTATTGTATTCATTTACCACTTGAGAACTCAAGATAGTGCAAAAGGCAATCTTCGCATCATTTTATTCTCAGTTCAACAACCCTGGGAGGTATAGCCAACCATTGAAGCTCTAGTGTTTGAATATAGACTTGAAGTTGGGTCTTCCCCATCCCAGTCCAAGAGCATAATGAAAGCATCACATTGACACTCTTTAATCCTCAACTTGATGACGTTCCAAGAATGGAAATTCTTTCACTTTCAGAGAAATTAAATTCACACTGAAATATTAAGTAAATCAAATGGGCTAATCCACTTGTCTGAATTTAATTTGATGTACCTTCACTTCAGTATATGTGAAAGAGAGCATAGATTTTTTGTTTTGATTTAAGAGAATAAGTGAGCTTGATAGATCTTACTTCTTGAACGGATACAGGTTGAGGCACTTTTTCAGGTATTGAGTTCACTAATTATTTAGAACTATAAACATAATCACTAATGGGTTAAACTAATTGCCATATGCTTCACTAGCTGCTTTCATATTGATGACAAGAATATGCCAACAACTAGCAGAAAATAATAATCTGAATAAGAAGCTACCAGTGTGTGACCTATTGGAACAGACTTGTTCTTGTCCAGGAATAATTGTAGTTCATGAAGCACTGAAATTGGCTATAAACTTTCTGAGTCCTCAAGACTACTTGCCATTATAGTGACAAAGATTAATCTTGGAGTGTTTGTAGGATTTAAGTTTTATTTCATTAGTTCTGATTCAGCCTGTTGCAGTCTAACAATGATCCTGGTGACAGGAGAAACAGAGAAGGAAACCTGTTTTATCTGAGTGCTAAAGTATCTCCATAGAATAATAAAATGGAAAACAATAGTAATGCATAGCCACACACTGGGGAGGATAACCAACATGAAACAATTATGACAATCAGAAATAAATTATGAGGGAATAAATCATTATGCTCTGTCCCAGGTCCTGCTGGAAGAGTCAAGCTTTCATAGCTTTATGAATTGGGTTGGGGCCGTACAAACCTCAAGAGACTGCTATTTCACAGGGCAGATTGTAGTTAGCGATTTTCTAAGTAATATATCCTCAGATATTGTTAAAGTAAATAGTATTTTTTGTTTTGTCTAACATATGCTGTAGTATTTCCATTTCTGTAACAGTGAGAAACCATTTCCATAATGCATATTTTGCTTTATAAAATTAGGCTTTTAAAAATAAAAATTAGAAGCTCAAGCTATTACATGCTTTAAACTTAACCAATTTTACCATTCTTTTTCAAATATTTGGATACAAATGGAAAGTTAATATTTGTCATATAATTAAGAAGAAAAAAATAGGAAATGTGTTCCCTTACTAGGTTGAACTATAAAGGTATGCTGAAATATGGCTTTCTATATTGTCTGTCTTATTGCATTCAGTAAAAAGCTTAATACTTTGATTATCATAGCATTTTTCAAGCACATCAGAGCAACTTTTTTTTCAAGTAAAGCCTTGATTTCTCTAACCGATTTTTTTGTGTGACAGGTGGGAGATTCAAGAAGGAAATAGTAGTTGATGGACAGAGTTACCTGTTGCTGATTAGAGATGAAGGAGGTCCTCCTGAGGCACAGGTGAATATTATATTTAATTATTTTAATAAACTAAAATCTGGAGACAAATCCAATGGGTTACATTATTTCCAACAGAAAATAATGAAGGAAGATATTTCAGTGATTTCCTTTTCAGGCCTCAGCACCATATCTGTCTCATCTATTCAGAACAAATTATAAGAAAGAAGAAAGGGGGAATTGGAAACAAAAAAAAATTCTTCTCTTACCTATACTAGTTGGACTTGGATATGTCTGAATCCAAGCCAGTATATAAAAACACAGTTTTTTCACCTGTGTATTAGAATATAGATTAAATTCGTAGGATGAGTAATTTTTTTTTAAATTGTGCCTTCAAGTCATTGTTGACTTCTGGCCACTGCCTGGACTAGTCCCTGCAGTTTTCTTGGCAAGATTTTGGAAGTGTTTTGCCATTGCCTCCTTCCTAGGGCTGAAAGGGTGTGACTGGCCCAAGGTTACCCAGCTGGCTTTGTGCCTAAGGTGGGACTAGAAATCCCAATCTCCCAGTTTCTAGCCTGGTGCCTTAGTTAAGTTACTACACCAAATTGGCTCTCAGGGTGAGTAATACCTTTACAGAAATTGAATGTTGTATGATCAACTATTTGAATAACCATGCTATTTTTAAGCTATTGATTACCAGTTTTTGACTCCATGATAATAGACTAATTGATATAATTAAATGCTCTAATTCTTTTAATTAGTTAATGCTTCCTCAGCAGATAATGTTTATCAATTCCAAAGAGAAATATAGATCCCCCTCCTTTTAAAAAATTATAAATTGCATTTTATTACAACTTGTCTGGGGAGATAGAGGTTTAAATTTTTTTTTAATTTGCCTTATATAATTACCAAGGGCCTTCATTAAAATTCAGAAATAGAATGGAGAGAACATGAATTGAGATTAGCTTTCTCTTCTCTTTTGTGATGACAGTGACCCCTTTATGTAAAGAGGTAGGGAGCAGGCAAGCAGTTGTTAAGTGTCAGTGAGCAAGCACTGGACACAGAACTTTAAAACAACTAGTTTCCTTTGAAACTTCAATTTTCAAGCTATTAAATTATAATATCCAACTAAATAGACAAGCTGTGTTGGCAGCATCAACATACTTTTTCTCTCCCCAGTGGGCAAATCTGGAACACTAGCCTTAGCTGAGGAAGTTTAGATAGTCTTTTTCCTTGACAGTATCTAGCTCCTTTGCTTTTCAGCTGGTATTCCTGTTTGAGAGAACCATTTAGTTGTCCATGAGGGAGATGAGCTGTTTCAAGCCCCAGTCTCTTTAAAGCTAAATAGAGAAGTCCTGAGCAGTTTCTTTGGCCTTATTTCTCTTGGCCATCAGCCTGTATTGGCCTCCCTCAGCCTTCCTTTTCCTCTCTCCTTACAGCCTTTCAGCTCATCAGGCTCTGAGTTGGAAAATGCTTGCTCCCTGATAAGGCTTATTTTCCCTTTACCACAATGACAAATTTTAAATCCAATCTATTTATTTCTTGTTTTAAGTGAATGGGTTGGTTAGAAGAGAATGGTTTAATAAAAACAAATCCATACTATCAGAAAGCAAATGCACTGAATGGCAGTTGTAAGCTTTGGAGGAGTAACCTTCTGGAGGTGGGGGTATTGGATAGATGTGAATATTTATGTGATTAAACTTTTACTAATGAAGGTTGGTGAGAATGAGAGCACCCGTAGTTGGGTAAAAAGTTTGCCCTATAAAGCAACTTATTGTGAAAAAAAGTGGTGAACTCAAGAGTAACAAAAAGCAATTACATTAATTGTATTCAGTTTGAGGTAAATTGTCATGCACTTAACAATAGGAAAATTTATAAGCTGTGAAAAAAGGGTGAAAATTCCAGTGCCAGTTAGTGTCACATTTTGGTACAATGTGAAATAAAAATCCTAGTTACAAAAGTATATGATAAATAAAAAAATACAAGTAAATAAAAAGCTGGAATAGGGCTTTTTGGTTGACTAGTAGCACTTACCTAAAATAGGCATCTACTGATGCTTTTGATCACCTTGATTCTTTTCATAGACTTTCTTTGAGAACCAAGCTTTACTGCTTCATGAAGTGCACTTGCAGGTCACATTGCTAACTGAAACAGGCTATCAGGTGTGAAAAATTGAATAAAGTTGACAGTGATGATTTCACAAACAAGTTTCCTTGGATAAAATAAATAAATGTACACCAAAGTTTCGATGTTATTCATGTTCATGTTACATGAACATGGTAGGTACTTAAATACATATACTATGTCAACTGTAATTCTTCTATCTTCTCTACATAAGGTAAATATTTAAAATATGTTTGGATGAGTTCCTCTGGTGATTAACATTTTATAATCTCACTGTTTGAAGGGCATAGATATCATATATCTGAGAGCTGATTGTGTTTATAGACAGGTTTTCATTAGGTATTTTCAAAAGTTGAAGTATATATATGGAAGAGTTTGTGGAATCCAGAAAATAGCTGAACATACTGATGAATAGTTAGAAAATATTAGAATAATGGAAAAGAGGAAGAAGAAACCAAATAATATGTATATGGGATATAGGGATGCATATCAGTTCAGAATAGCGAACAGATAGAGCTCTACAGAAATACAACATTCAAGCCTTGCATATATTCAGCAACAGCAGACATGACTGATTCACAAACACATTGCAAATTGAGTCTGATGTTTCTCAGTGCATTGTAGTACCAGATCTGCTTGAAGCAAATAGCTTTGGTTCTGCCAGAAGTGTCTTCAGTGCCTGCATATCCATGTTCAGTTGATGAGGGGAGGTCCTCAGAGCTGCCATACTAAGCTTGTAATGGTCATAGCCCCCTATGTTTTAAGCAGTCAGTTCAGAAAGTTGTCTATGAAATTCTTATAGTAGTGTAATTTGTTAACCAAATATCAATTGGAGGATAACCTGATACTCATTTAGATCCTAGATTGGGTGACTTGATTTTGGCATCAGATTTCTTCTCTTAAGGGTTTATTTTAATTTTTTTCCCTACAGTTTGCCATGTGGGTGGATGCTGTTATCTTTGTCTTCAGCCTTGAGGATGAAATTAGTTTCCAGACAGTGTACCATTACTATAGCCGTATGGCAAACTATCGTAATGCTAATGAAATCCCAATGGTACTAGTAGGAACTCAGGGTAAGCGGTAATTCTTATACCATATTTATTTCTTGAAAAACTTTCATTTACGTGCTTGGTTCTTTTCTTTATAAAGCTTAAGAACAGTGTTCATCTCTTTATCACTGTTGGTAAGTACCTGTAAAGCTTTGCAAATCATTCAGAAGAGATGATTTTAAAAGTGCATACAGAGCTTTTGAATAGGTGAAGTACCAGTGTCTTTTTTCCAGACTTGCATGGCTCTTTTGGAAATAGTTCCTGACTGCCTTCACATGGGTGTGCGTGCACAGTTACTTCACCTTGCAATTTTCACATATCACCAGTATACTTTTCTTTTCATATCACTCTAGCAAATCCATGAATACTGTTTGGCCATTGTTTTGTAACATAGAAACAAAGTTTTCATTAGTTACTTCAGTCAGCTATTTTAATTACACTAATATCTTGATTCTGATTTGATAACTTCAGATCTTGTTAAAGTCTCAATAGAACACATGCGGGTGAATTTTCTTTTCTCATATTTAGAAATTTGGAAGTGAATTGTATTGCTGCAAGCTTTGTAAGTTTCACTGCAAAAGCTGACATCAGCATCTTATCTAAAATCTGTGATGGATTAAGGCAAGATTTTAGTCCGTTATACTGGCTTGGATGCAAAATTCTGACTATGCCAGTGGGCAGAACTTCCCATCTACTCATCTTCAGTCCCACTATGAAAAACATTTAAAGTCATTGGAGGAATTCACAGCTTTTTTGTAGACAAGATGGATAGTTCTTGTGGGAACTATTCATGGGAAATTTGTAAATACTTCAAAATATCTTCATCCTTTGTTGCTTGCACACAACACATTCTTATCCTACCATCTTGTCAGAGAAATATGATGGATTTCCCCCACTTTTCTGGACTTGCCAGGAAATCATCAGTAGCAGTTGTTCCATATTTTATCACCTCATGAGCAGAAGTGATGAAATAAAAATTAAAATTGTGAAGTAATATGTACCAATAGAAGAGAACATACGTAGTTCAGGGTTGAACTGTGGAGTCTTTGGAGTTCTCTGAGCTGGTTGTTTTCTTGCAAACATTTTGTCACCTGGCTAGGTAATATCTTCAGTGCCAGAAGGGAGTGGGGTTTGCTCTCTGTTTATATACAGTAGTTTGCCCTGTCAGTAGGGTGTGTGTGTGTGTGTGTGTGTGTGTGTGTGTGGATTTTTCCTTGGTAGTTCCTTGATTAAGCTGTTGTTTATTGCTTGATTGAGTTGGTAGTTCCTTGATTAG